GTTTCCAATGGCTTCAGATCTTTTCTGTGTGATGTATGGGCGTGAGTGCAAGTACGGAGCTCCTTACTTCTCCGCCATCTTGCCCTCTCTCCCCAAAATGTAACTTTTAAAACCTTAAGTGTGAGAAAGCATTTGAGAATAGAGAAGATTAGTAGATAGTTCTTGTATTTCATCTTTCCAGAACCTTTACTGAATCTCCTCATGTCTACTCCCAGTTTAAATTCATTTCCCTGAGACTGAGAGAAAATGGAAGATTCTACAAGGAGCTGGGAGCACGAAGAAAGATAACAGACGTGACTGCAACAAAGGTAACAATAATCAGAACAATAACTATAACCTTTAGAGAAACCACCACTGGCCAGGCCCTTTACAATGTAGTTTCACCTTACTTTAGTTTGAGATTCACCATTACTAGCCTGGTATGGAAGAGAGGTTAAGTAACATGTGGAAGACCACACAGGGATTAGTGTCAGACTAGGGTTTATATTTAGCATTCTGATCCAGCAGCCTGAAATCCAGGTTCTGAGCTCTTAACCAGTAAGCATTCCACCTGGGAGCAGCCTGAGCCCGGGAAAGTTTGCAGAAGGCAGGCTGTAACATGCTGGTACGTGAGGCTGAGCTCACCAGGCTGCTCTTAGCAGAAGTTAGGTCTGTGAACTGTTTGAATAGTCAGCTCAGTAAAACTAAGCAAATAAGCCCCCAATACTTACTCACAAAGTAGATGTTGACTTATCAATTACTGTTCTCATATTTGGTGAGCTCTTTTTTACCTGTACCAATGGGATGTAGAAGGAGATGGGCAGCAACACTCATAATTAAGAATACCAGATTTCTTAGGGGCACCTGGGTGGCTCAGGTGGTTAAGCATCCGACTCTTGGTTTTGGCTCAGGTCATGATCTCACAGTTTGAAATGGAGCCCCACATTGGCCTCTGTACTGACAGCATGGAGCTTGCTTGGGATTCTCTCTCTCCTTCTCTCTCTCTCTACCACTACCCCATTCACACTCGCTCTTTTTCTCAAAATAAATGAATATTAAGAAAAGAGTACTAGATACTTTACACACTCTAATGTTTGCTTTTAAATACATTCTTGAAATTATTTGGCTATATCTATGTCAGGTATTGAATCCTCTTTAAGATGATAATAATCTTATATACTGCTTACTTGGTTCTGAGTACCATCCACGTATTTGTGCATGGACTCATTTAATCTTTAGGACAGCCCCTTGGAGTTGGTATTATACTATTTTACAGCTGAGCAAATGTGTTTTTTACAACTGAGGCACAGTGCTGGAGCTGGGATTCAAACACATGCCGGCTGCCTCCTACAGCACAGGGTCATTGCTGCAGAGCTGCCTTGTGGGGAGAGCACGCTCAGTAACGTCCGCTTCCAGATGAGGAGAACACCCTGTTTCCTCCAGGAGATTATACTTCCTTCTCTTGCAATTCATTCTCAGCCTGGAGTAGACTGTCTGTAGCTTATATAGGCTTTGTTCTTTAGACACTCCCTGGATAAATAAGAGAATGGGATTTCAGAAGACTTCCTTTTACAGAGTTAACAAGGGTTGAGATATCAAGGAAATGACAGTGAATTATAAATAGTAAGATCAGGGGCACCTGGGTGGCTCAGTCGGTTAAGCATCGGACTTCAGCTCAGGTCATGATCTCATGGCTGTGGGTTGAAGCCCCACATCAGGCTCTGTGCTGACAGCTCAGAGCCTGGAACCTGAGTTGGAGTCCATGTCTCCCTCTCTCTCTGCCCCTCTCCTGCTCATATTCTGCCTCTGTCCCAAAAAGGAATAAACATTAAAAATAAATGAATAAATAAATAAATAAACAAATAAATAGTAAGATCAGTTTACCCTCTGTAGTAAGTGCCAATCTAATTAACTAGAGGCAAATATATAGACAAGTATAGTTAATAGGATAGCAAACTGCAGAAATGAATGTGGGTGATTTTATTTTATTTTTAATTTTTTTAAATGTGATTTAAAAAATCACATTTTTAAAAAATGTTTGAGAGAGTGTGCACATGCACATGTGTGGGAGGGGCAGAGAGAGAGGGAGAGAGAGAATCCAAAGCTGACTCCATGCTGTCAACATGGAGTCCCATGAGCGGCTTGATCTCACAATGGTAGGATCATGACCTGAGCCAAAGTCAAGAGTCTGATGCTTTTTTAAAAATTTATTTCTGAGAGAGAGACAGAGACAGCGTAAGCAGGGGAGGGTCAGAGAGAGAAGGAGATACAGAATCTGAAACAGGCTCCAGGCTCTGAGCTGGCTGTCAGCACAGAGCCTGACATGGGGCTTGAACCAACAAACTGTGAGATCTGTTTGAGATCTGACTGAGCCACCCAGGTGCCCCAAGAGTCTGATGCTTAACCACTGAACCAACCAGGTTCCCCCCAAATCACAGCAACTCTTGAAATGGGCCAGGGGAAGGTAATTCAGCAAAGCTAGAATAAGTTATGAACTATAGGAATGTAGAGCCTACCTATCAGTTATCAATCATGTGACAGGCCACAGTAAAGACGCAGTAAAAAGGATATAAAACATTTATTTTTAGAAGATTTTCCCTCCAAAAATAGAAAAACTGTTCTATCAAAAAATTTACTTTAGGGGTTCCTGAGTGGCTGAGTTGGTTAAGTGTCTGACTTTAGTTCAGGTCATGATCTCATGGTTTGTGAGTTAGATCCCCACATGAGGCTCTGTGCTGACAGCTCAGAGCCTGGAGCCCGCTTTGGATTCTGTCTCTCCTTCTCTCTCTGCCCCTCCCCTGCTCTCTCTCCCTCAAAAATAAATTGAACATTAAAAAAAAATTAAAAATTTACTTGAAGTTTTTCTACCAAATAATTAAGAAAATCATCTTTTATTTGGTAAACAGCTTTATATAGTCCATCACAAAAAATAAATGAGTTATGTAAGCTGAATTTTTTGGCTTCTATATTTTTAGGTGGATTTGAGATAAAGTATCCACTCAATGTCCAATTTGATTCAAGAACTGATTTTTCAGCTTAGTAGTTGGCATGTAAAATAGCTGGGGTTATAATATAACCAAGCTGATATCTTTGATAATGTTAGAGGTTCATACGAATATTTAATACCTTGAGAATGTAGTTTTCATCTAGGATCTATTTTCAAGATTCTACTTGTTATTTGCTGTTTTAGGAATAAGTTTTCTTTGAAGCTCAATTATATTCTTAATTTTGGTTCCTTCTGGGTACGTTTAAAGTGAGGACAAATCTTTCCAATGGAGCATAAATATATGTGCAATCATATTCTGAAAGGATAGTTCCTAAGTAGAAGAATTTATTACTTACTTATTGCTTATTTTAGGCTTGTACATGGTCCTGGGCTAAAGCTATTACTTTTGTTGTTTTTGCAGTAGATTGACTTTGGTGTTCCAAAGAGTAGAAGTAAAGCTTTGGTGGAAATCATGTAGTATAATTCTATATTGTTAAAAACAAAGTACAGTATTTGAATTATTACAGGTCACAGAAAAAGATTGTTTACTCAATTTGCTTTATAAAATCTACATAATCTTAAAAAACAAACATGATATAAATGGAAAACAAACCAAAATTTTCATTAATATAGATCATAAACCAAAACTTATACATCCAATAAAAGAAGAGAATGCCACAATTTTAGGGCCAAAAGGAATTTTAGAGAAAATTAAGTTTAACCTCTTTAAGTTCCAAGAAGTAAATGAGAAAATGTTGAGAATGAAAAAATGAGAAAATGTTGAGAATGAAAAAATGAGAAAATGTTGTCGAGATTAAATGATTGATGAAAAATGACGCTGCCAGTTGGGTAATATGATGCACTTGGATGAGGAATTCAAAGATTAACTCAAATGTTATAGAACAATAATTTCAGGAGTGCCTGGGTGGCTTCGTGGGTTAAGCAACTGACTTTGGCTCAGGTCATGATCTCATGGTTTGCAAGTTCAAGCCCCACATCAATCTCTGTGCTGACAGCTTGGATCCTGGAGCCTTCTTCAGATTCTGGGTCTCTCTCTCTCTCTCTCTGCCCCTCCCCTGCTCACACACTGTGTGTCTCTCTCAAAGATAAATAAACATTACCAATTAAAAAAAGAAAACTAATTGTATAGGAAAAGAATTTTATCAAAACACCAATAAGAAGAAAAACCCCAGCAACCAGCCTTGTTATGAAAATGAATGATTCTTAAAATGTGGCTGAATCGCTATACTGTGTTTTTACAAATTATCCATGACTTTAGACCTTGTCTTTTAATTCTCAATTAGTTTTGCTACCTTGATTAATTTGCTCTGCTAGTGTAGCCACATTTTAGTCATTCAGTCAAACCAGGTGTTCTTTAAATGACCAGTTATTTAACCAAATCAATACTAATTTCAGTAATCAGTGCTGAATTGACAGACTCCCTGAGCAGGTTTAATATCGTTTTAGAAAAGACATTATGAAATAAATAATTTATTTATATAGATTAAAAAACAAAAGATATATCAGCTTTTTGTAATGTTACAAATTACTGCAGTTGGTATCTGTCATATTCCTCAGAACAGTTTGTACAAGAATAAGTCACAGGAATAAAAGGCAGCATAAGGAGTATAGTCAATGGTATTGTAATAATGTTGTATGCTGACAGATGGTAGCTACACTGTGGTGAGCACAGCATAATGTATACACTTGTCAAATCACTATGTTGTACACCCAAAACTAATGTAACAGTGTGTCAACTGTACTTCTAAAATACTCACTAGTTTGTACAAGTTCACACAACAATCCTGAACATTCAGTGAAATAGTTGGCTACATTTTGAACTGAATTGAAATTTGGTGCTGCTGTAGATATTGCCTAAACCAGAGAACTGTTTATTTTTTTCTGTATCTGTTCCTTTTCTGAGCTGTGTAATCTGTTTAATCTGAGCTTAATTTTGGAAAGGCTGATATACTTTAAATTTGGACACATTATATTATTTCTTACAGTTATCAAAAACTGGACAATGAACTATTCCCCTTCTCTAGCAATTCAATTATCAGAAAATGTTAACCAGTAGTAATAAAAAATGTTAATGTAATTTAAGAAACCCCACCAGTTAGAATGAAGCAGTCTGGCCAGGTCTAAGGAACCAGAGGGATCCTGCAGGACCAGCCAAGATAGCCCAAAGCTTCTTGAAGGATGGGAAGTAAGAGAGGAAGTAAAAGCAGTTTATTGAAGACAGAGAGAGAGAGAGCAGATACAGACAAGAACGTCTAGGAGACTCAGAAAGGAAAAGGAGCATAAGTTTCATCTTTACTTGGGTGTCTGGAATTTTACTGAGGT